GCAAAAGACGGAACTTAAGAACAAAGAAGATACTAAGAACAATATTAGTTTAGAAGAGGATAATCCACAACTTCTAATATGCTTATGTCTTATTAAGAGAAAGAGATAATCCACTCTTAATCAAGACACGACAAAGCTCTAATATTGTAAGTGTACTCTTATCAATCTATCAAGGATATGAACTTTAAGAAGATATATAAATCTAGAAAATCTGTATCAAAAGAAAAGTGACAAAATAGCAATAAAGTAGTATGTATATTAAAAAAAAATTAGAATGGCTATTGCCAAAAGATATAAGTAGTAAAGAGGTGGAAAGAAGATGATAATTTAGTCAAAAGAAGAAATTATTTTGGCAAGAAGAAGAGGATGAGAAAGTGTAAAATTACATGATTTTATATAAGTTATAAAAACTATATAAGTAATAAAATTTCCATCTACTAAGGTTATTAATTAATTAAGGTACTATTGTGTATATATATATATATATATATATACTTACTGCTCTTCTAATAAATAATCTTTAAATTTTAAATTTTTTTAATAATTAATTAAAATTTTAGAAATTAATTTTGATTTATGGTATATAATTAATTATCTTTGATTTTTAATTATTAATTTATTTATTAATATTTATTAATTAATAGAAATAACTTCTTATACATAATTAGATGAGACAAGGCCATGCAACTAACAAATCCATATAGCTACCAAAGAAAAAACAAACAATTTAAATTACATGGCCCTAGTAAGATTGATTTCTATTTTGCCTTAAACAAATCAACTCTAAAGATCAATAACCATTAATACTTTTTCTTGCAACAAATAATATCAATTAATAGAAGAGCACTTGTATGTATGCATATATATGCATATATAATTTTATTTTTTATATTTTAAAATATTAATAATTTTTTTAATATTCACAAAAGGACTCAAATGATTCATTTCGACCTTAGAGTCATAAATTGTATAGCTCGTCTAAGGGAACGTGAAGTGTTTCTCTTCTATGGGAACAATGAAGTTGTTAATTTATAGGAGGATACTATTTGGAGGGTATGGATGAGGCACCTGGCCTTGTAGTTGCTGCAGTTTTCAATGACTCTATTGGCTTGAATTATTCTCTGCTCTTCGTGCGTCAGGTTTCTCTCTTTCCCAAGGATAATTGAACCAGTAATGAATCGACCACTAATGCATGGATCTATCACAAAGTTGCAAGAATACACACACGGCGTTTTTTGAGCGCATGAGTTTTCTGGGGTTAGGCACTGCAAGCAAGGCTGCAGTACTTAATATGTGATGACCCACTCCATTATACGCCATGCAATATCAGCATCCAAGCCAAAACTAACGAAATCATCGAGAATGCTTTCTTCAATTGTGAGTTTGGTAGTTTGTCATGCTGTGCACATCGAACAACATGATTGTTAGTTTCCAGACACATCTTTGATCATCCGACTATCAGTAGGAGCTGAATCCCACTAACTAGACAACATCTTGATAGGATTTATTGCTTCAACATATTCAATTGATGTTGTGAGAAGTACTGTTATACCGCATAGTTGCACTTTGATCCATACGCCATCAATTTACTCGTAATAGGCTTTGTGAGTCACTTGAAACGAAAGGTAACCCATTCAGTTTTTATGTGAACTGTGCATAGTGTATATACCAGTGCTTTCATGACACCACATGATTGCATATCTGCTTTGATACGACTCGCATCTTCAGCAACTCTTGAATCACAGATTTAACCAGATTGGAATACTGCTTGATTGAGGGCTTCACATCAAACCCTTCTGCTCTGTGTTGCTGGCTTGTCCAGTGGTAAGCGGGGCAAGCTTCTCTTCTGAGACCTGGGTCATGCTCTTTCAGATACCTTCAGCCCGTTGTAAGAGTGCACCAACACACGTTACAACCGCAACTCTATTCTTTTGTTAGCCAATGAGTGCAGCAGCGAACGGCTGCGACCCGAGGACACTAGGAGGGTAACGATTGTGCCTGGGGCTCTTTCGAAGACCGAGATGGAAACAAGGTTGAGTAGCAGTGTGAGTCAAAGAGGAAGTAACACTAATTTCCCACAAGAGAAAATAACATATGACAAGCACAGGGGTGCACTTCTTTCATCGCTATCGCCGAGCCGGGTTTGTACTAAACAAGAAAGGAGGGCTCGTAAGTGGGTGGGCACGTTGTACAGAGCGAGGACGTGAGAAAAGCGACACAACCCCCACATAGACTTGCTTGTCAGCACCAATGCGGGATCAATTATGGTCACAGCGTGTGAGTCCCATTTCCTGTGACACCGTCCACTTCATCTACTCGCGCTTTCGGACAAGCTCCCCACGGCCCACACCATGAAAATAACAAGGGTGCCTCCGAAATTCCACCCAGAGACAAAGACAAACTCCCCGTCCTGGCCTGGCTTGGGGTGGAGCCGGCCACAGACAATCAACCTCTAGAGAGGGACTAGTGGAAAGATGAATATTTGATATCAGTTTTTAATTGGACCTCACCCAAATGATGTTTTGGTTGAGTAATAAAGTTTTGAGTGTACAAAAGAGGGTGTAGAGAATGCCAGAGGGAGCTCCCGTAGGATGACGGCTGAATAAACCCACATCTTGGCAAAGTTTCCTAAAGTTCTCCCAAAACCAAAAATTGTAGCGAAGTCCACCGTCAATGTCTAATGTGGGATCCAAGACCGCCCATGTCACAAGTTTCTTTCTTGCCACTCCGACCAAAGTTTTGTGCTGCTTGACTTAAGATGAATTGTCTTAATATTTACAAAAGTAATAGATTGCTGTAACAAGCAAGTAGTGGGTAGGTCAGGGGCTGGAGGTAATTGTCTTGACCTAGTGGATGAAATACTACGAGACCATGTTCATTCCTACAACCCAATTGGGAGGTTGTTCCTCTAAACGCAAGTGAGTCTCTACTCTAGCTTTAATAACCATGGTTGTGTTAGCGACTATCACAAGCTACAACATCAGCAGTTCTCTTTGGTGTTCTTTATTCTGCCACAACATTTCAAAAGAGGCTTTATATACACTTTATCTTCATCACTTCTTTCATATGATTTTATAGATTCTTCTATTCTGATGCACCAATTTATTTTGTTAACTAGTAGTTTGTGTTTTTTTTAAAAGAAATTTATAGATTTTAGAATCTTTTGAAAGAAACTACCGAGATGTATTTTTCTTAATGTAATAGTTCTTGGAATGAGTAAAGCTTCTATAAAAGTTCATATGTTATACCAACTACTTGTAACAAGCTAATTTTGTTTTTAAGAGAGTTGTAATTATAGAAAAATGTAATAATTTTGGAAGTTTTTTCTAATCTAAATAGTATATATGATAGTATTATTAAGTAACATATATATATATATATATATATATGTAATAACATAATCATGTTTCACATGAAGAAATCATATTTAAGGTTTCATAATTTACTAGTAGATAATCATTATATATATATTTTTAATAATGGTTTAGTAAATTTTTAATATTAATTTTTTTAATTATAAAAATAATATTTTTCTTTAAAATTAAAAAGATGTATGCTACTCATTTTTTAGTTTTTATTGTATGAATATTTTTAAAATTTTACATATTATTTTTTAGATTTCTTTTGATAATTTTAGTGCTATTAAAACCACTATTATAAAGATAATACAATATAAACACCTTAAGTAGTATTACAATTTTTTAGCTTACCATTAATGACATCTATGTGCCTTACTTTGGTTATGTTATAATTGTTTTTATAATAGTAGGTCTAAAATAGTCGAATCTACTTACCAGATTTATTTTACATGTATTAAAAGACCTAAGATTTTTAAAAGTTTAGAACAATTCATTTATTAATTATTATATATATATATATATATATATATATATATATTTAAATTGAACATTTTTGCAGTGTGTTATAGTAATAAAGAAAGAAATCAATATTTTGTACATTTACTTTTATAGTATTTAAGAAATTTTTCTTTATGTTATGCTGATAGACTAAGAGAATTTTAAAACACAATTATGAATAAATAAATGTATGTGTACACATAATAAAATTAATTTCATTTTATTACAACCTTTCTAAGATTTTAAAAATAGTAAATTTATTATAGAAAATTGGTATCTTTGAATAAAAAGTTAATAATTTTTTAGGTACTAATTTCCATTAATCTTCTCCATATTTGTTGAGATTTGCAAGAGGACTGCCATAAAATTGGTGTCAGAAAACTCATTAAGCTAGTACAAAAATTAGATTTATTTCATGTTGAAGCCCTAGTCTGTCAAAATTCCCAAAGCATGAATCACCAAAGCTTCCATTCCACTTCCAATGTGTTTATCCACATCAAAATGCATTAAAATTCACTGACACAGGAACATAACAGCATAATGGTCAGCACAGGTCTATTGCTCATATCTTACCTTAAATAATGTGTACTCTGCCCTTTCAAATTTAAGTCTAACTAAGACATGTGGATGTCTATGTCACCAAGATGGCAACCAACCTTAATGCATGCTTCTATTGGTCAAAGATTGTTCCAGATTTAACTTCTTTGCACATTGAATATGATTATTTTTTATTATATATTTAAAAAAAAATTTAGGACTTTCCCCAGTGAAGGCATGTTCACATCTACTTTTTTTTGTCATTCTTAGAAATTTGACACTATGCCTCACTCTTGTAAGCCTCACAGAGAGAAGCCAATGTTTTGTTTAGATTTCTGAATATATTTCTTTTCTCAAAAAAATATTATACCTTAGTAATCATAACTCCTGTGAGGGAGTGTGGGTACAACCAACATTCAAGTCAACCAAAGCATGTGCTCAGCTTGGCTGCTTGCATGGCCTCCCGCATGTACCCTTGTTCTCCATTGTCCACAGATAATGAAAGGAAGAAAACTAGCATATTCCAGATCCCAAAACGGGGTCCCGAAAACATGGCCACGTCTCCAGTACAAGGGACGCCGGTGAAGGCTCGTCGCAGAGCGGGGGCGTGGCTGGGGCACCAAAAGGGAATTAAGGAGGCAACCTGCTCCATGACTCGAGCTCCTGCTTCTGGCTCGGCTGGAGTTTCGATTCCTCCAGGGTCCACACCATCGTTGCTTCCACTGCAGCTGGAGACTTCGCTGGAATAGTATGCAATCTTCTGTTACCCATGTCCGATGTGCAGCTGCACTGATTGCGGTTGCTCCTCGTGCTTCGACAAGGACTTAAGCTGGCGGAGTTTCTGAGCGGGGGGAACACAGATAGCATTAAATGGGGCCATAATTCCATCCTAATCTGAAGCTTGCAATAGAGAGTACAGCACTGTTGTAGGGAGCAGATGATGGCCGTAGTCTCCACTTCGTTTGAGCAGCGCTGAAGGAGTGGCAGTTTGGCACTGGGGCGCACAGTTTCCAAGCGTTGTGTTTGTTGATGAGCGTCCATCTGGAAACGGTTTCGTGGGCGAGGAGACCCTGTTGCTGTTGCTGGGACGCAGCTGAGGAGTATCCTGGGTTGCGCTGAGGAGTCATGTGTTGGCCACATTGGACTCTGGTCGTTGCTACTGATGCGCCCATTTGGAAATGTAACAGCTCAGATGGTGGGTTGGGACGCTGCGGTGGTGAGATTAGAGCTGGGAGATCCTTTTGACGGGTTCTAGTTTGCAAAGGCAGAGGAGGAACTGGAATGTACGGCGGGGGTTCAATGAGGGCATGGCTCAGCGTCGCGCTTGTAGTTGCGTGTTTGGGTTGGACACTGTCTGCTGCAGTCACCGATCCTGGCGATGGTAATGTTTTGCTGCGGAGAAAGCATGTGTTGAAGCTCGATTGAGAAAGAGTTGAGGTGTACTTCACATGATTTATATTTCCTCACTAATTCTAGCGACCCCAAATTGAAGTTTTGGCTCAACCAAATCGTGAACTGACGTTTTAAATTTTGTGTTGGAGAAGTACCCCTTGTCTTAATTTCTTCATTTGAACGAGCCTTATATTATGTATTTCAAATAGTTATGGGAAGAGATGATCGAGACACTCCAAGTCGGCTCACTTCTCCTTCACTGGCCCTCACATTCGTCACCGCAGTAGTAGGAAAAGAGTGATCCGGTCTGTTCTTGGTTTTCAAATTCTCTTTTCAAGATCACTTGAATTAAGCTTTGAGAAGCGACCTCAGCAGCCAGCTGCTCACACTTGATGACCCTGGGTGAAGAAAGAAGCGTCCATTAGAAATGTGAAGAGAGTTCTTACTAGACTCGACCTGCATTTCATGTTGAAATTTGCTTCGAATATGATTTTAGATTCGGGAAAGGTCCTGCTTCAAATGTAGTGGAGAAGATTAATTTCCAATTCTGCTACGCAAATCCTCTGAGGAGAGCAGAAAATACACGTTTACATTATTCCTTTTTCATCAAGTAAGTTGGAATTGAGCCTAGTAGCTTGATTCTCTTGGATTATTCTTGTTTGTGAACAGTAAAAGTTCTGCTCAAGTTGAAGAAAGCATGGGGTGGCGGCCTGTCGCTCTGGAGCGGTTTAGATCCTTGCTACGACGGATGGTTGGGTGTCTTCTGCGACGACAAGAATACCAGAGTAACATCCTTGTAAGCACATTACACTGACCACGGGTATGCGCCAACGAACGTACAAGTTTTCTAGCAGCCATATTTTACTAGATGTGCACCTCTGGCAAAGATAACAGTGCAAAATATTCAACAAATGTGGTTGCATGGTGTCGTGGTTGACGCACTAATAGTGGATGGATACTTGGGTTAAATATGTGTTTCAAACTCGGCTGTTTGTTGTGAAGACCTTTTCTCGCTCTTTCATCGTCAGCAACACATTTGATGGTTCAAATTCATCAATATCATCTGCAGAACATCTGTAGCCATCTGTAGATATCTGCTAGCAGGTCTGTCGTAGTTTAGTTTGGAGTTCTTGCTTTCAGCCTTTACAAACTTTACTTTTCAACACCTGTGACCGTTTCTTTCTACATCGTATGTATAGGTACTTGATAAGCGCAGACCTTGCGGGAACCATTCCTCCAGAAATAGGATCACTTTCGGCTCTTGTTAATCTGTAAGTTCCCCCATTTATGATTAGTGATATTCTGAGTATCTTCTACATTTGGAAACGGATTTTTAAACAGGCAATGAATGCAGGGATATAATACATGCAGGATACGATTTTCTCTGCTTTTGGATTATTCATATTCTCGTTACCTCCGCTATGATCAGTTAGAACCAAGAGTTATCCTTTCCCTTTACTCACTGAGCATGTTTCTGAAGTTCATGTTTAAGATGTTCTTAAGCAATGTGATAAAATCTTGATGAGTGGCTGTTCAATGCAGGGATCTTTCGTTCAACACGAATTTAAAAGGACAGTTACCTTCTGAGCTGGGTTCCTTGACTAATTTACTCTATCTGTAAGTCCTGGATTCCTAGTAGCGTGTTAAATGCAATATTCAAGTTCCAGTGATGAATCTGTTCAGCTGGCTCTTTTGCGGAATTCTTTCGAAACGAAAAGACTGCCTGTCTCCTAAAACTATCATGTTCAAAAATATATTATGTTCATTACATCAAATCGTGTGTATTATGAGGGAAGGATATGCTCCGCCTATCAACTATGCTGGGCTTAATGCGGAGATCGGTACTGACTATCATGTCCTACGCTTACAGGAGTTTGCAAAAGTGCAGTTTCTCAGGGCGTATCCCTGAATCTCTGGGGAAGTTGGAAAAATTGACTTTCTTGTAAGTTGCAGATGGATCCTCCGAAACGTCCAAATCAGAAGTTGATACTTTTCTTCTATTATAGTGGGAGGATGCCTTTCTATCGTTTGGTGTTCTTAATCAATTGTGCATTTCAGTCTTTTGATTTGTGGTTTATTGTCCAGGTCAAATTTAGCAACATCGGGATCCTAGTTATGATTGTCAGATATTCACTTGCACACTATATCTTAATGTGGAGACTAAGGTGCTATCAGTAAAGTTACGACATTAGAAGTTTATAAAGAACTCATCCAAGTAGTTAGGAGTTAACCAGTGCTGACCTGTGCGCATGCAGCACCAAACAAACCATGAACTGTACTTCCGCAAAGCTGTGTTTGCTCTGGGCATTGTGCACTGAATCTCTGTGGGTTGTCTTCTGCAGAGCTTTGAACAACAATGGATTCAGTGGAGAACTTCCTTCAGCTCTTGGTGCACTATCCAAGCTGAAGTGGTTCGACGTTGCCTACAATAAGTTGGAGGGGTCTTTACCTGTCTCAACAAGCAGTAAAGACTCTCTAGGTCTTGATACCTGGCCAGATATTGAACACTAGTAACTCACTGCCACCTTGATTCTCTAATTTTACCAGACTACGACAAGAGCTGAAGATTGTTTCACGTAATTGTACTTAGTTATACTTTTTGGAGCTCATGCCTGAACTGTTTCCCTTGTTGAATCTTGGATCATTTTGAAACGAATAAAGTTTCATGTGTAGGCTGCCCTACGATAGCCACGAAAAGTAGCACCTAGGCTATTTATTGATTTTATTTGATGAAATTTTCATTTTATTGGGTGTTATTAAATTTGCAGTCATTTGAATGACAACCAATTTTCCGGCATCATTCCACCTGAACTTGGGAACGCCGCGAAGTGCTTGCACATGTAAGTTATTCTGACATGGCTGCTGATTGTCCCATCCTCTCCAAGCATCTACCTACGAGATATTTTTGATACACCGTATGCTTCACATTTCTGTCGCTGGTTTCGGACAACCTGTTATCTTCTACCAAGAGGAGCTAGTCTTATGATGTGCTGCATACTGCCATGAGTGAAGACGATCTTCGTTGCTTAGCGCACGAACTGGTTAGTCTCAAGCTAAGAAGCACCAGAAGATTTGAATTCTTATACCGTGAGATATAATTCAGGCTACTGGAGGCGAATTCATTCACTGGACCCATACCCGAATCCTTTGGAAATCTCTCCAGTCTTCAGATCCTGTAAGCGGCCTGCCTTAATGTGTACAAGTAAAATTTACACTTTGATACCTGCAATTGGTCAATTAGTGAAGCGCTTTGTTGCTGCTGTTGATGATTTGCCGACGTTAGTCCATAATGAATACAAATTTTGCCAATCAGCTATTTAGTTAGTGCTCCACCTTCAAAGCTCTAAAATTTGCTTACATTGAAAGAGCTTCATTTCTTCAGAGTTTAATGTGATCTCTCTGTGTAACAGAAGTCTTCATTACAATCAACTAGCTGGTCCAATTCCCTCTACGCTAAGTAAAATCATTAAATTTGGGAAATATGCTGGGCTACATCAAATGTACGTCTACTTCGTTACCAATTTTCTTGACCAGATGTGTTGACTATTTTTATCCACATTTCAGACAAATCATGCAAAAAGGAATACTTAATAATGATTATGTGATCGTTGCTCTTTTACAAGCTCAAGAATTTTCACTTAAGTTGGCAGTTATAAGTCCTGGAGACTAGAAAGGTCATTTTGTTAATAGATGCTAACGTACCTTGAAGTTAACTTTGGTAGATATAAATGTTTTTTTGAGACCCTGGTAGATTTTTAATTCGGTTATGGTTTTAGACAATTGAATTCATTTTGTATTGGTATTCAGTCGTGTTTCCAACAATCAGCTGTCAGGAACTCTGCCAAATTTGAATGCTCTCAACCAACTTGAATACGTGTAAGAAAGCTTAACATATGCATGAGAAGGACTGTAAAAAGGTTTTATCTCGTTCTTAGCAGTACAACCAATTTCTCAAGTTAATGGAATTTTATTTGCCGATTATTGTTAGTGTTGCATTACAGTCAGATTGTGAGATGCTGCATAGCTCTGGGAACAAATCAAGATTCTAATTTGCTACCCTGAAACAGATTTGCATTTCAATCTCATTCCTCCACTTCTTGATTACACTTCTACTCAGTGATGGTATTGTTGAGATTTTTGGCTTGACATTTAAAAATTCATGTGCGGCAGTGATTTCAGCAACAATCTTTTTGATCCACAACCTTTTCCCAAATGGTTGAATGAGTCTTCCGAAGAACTTCAAACTATGTAACACACCATTACCTTAACTATCATTCTATTATATGATTTGAGCCCTAATTATTAGTTTTCGTATGCCAAGGTGATTCATGTGTAGGTTCCTGAAAGTTCTGCAACTTTTGGCTGATTGGGAACTAAGTGGTGGATCAAGCCTCTATCTTGACTTGGGCACATTTCATCGATCACAGAAAATGCGAGAATTGCAGCTGGGTTGGGCCTCTTCCTGCTGATATTTTGGCATACCCCTCACTTCAAGGCCTGTGAGTTAATACTTTCATTTTTGTGCGGTTTGTCGTCATCCCTATACAGTTAATTTCTGTCTTGTTGAATTTCAAATGAACTCCAGGAAGTGCAGAGCCAATTTCATTAGCCATGATCCAATAATTTACTTTCGTGCTTAATAGGTACCTTCAACATAATCGACTGAACGGGTCCCTCACGATCCCAGTGAACTTGGGAAAGAAGTTGCAATACGTCTCTCTCCAAAACAACGGAATTTCAGTTGTCAACCCACAAAATCCGAACGCTGAGTTACCACAAATTCAGTGAGTTTATCCTTTATCAATGTAAAAATGGTCAGTGTTTTCCCAGAAACAATGCATCTTGTGCAGCGTATGGATCTGTTCATTCAGGCAGTGCGCTGCTTATCCTGGTTACGAGTAGTCATCAAAAGGTCCTCGTATTAAATGAGTGCGACATTCTACAGGTTGGAGGATAATCCGATATGCTCTGGTGAAGGACTCTTGCGAGCAGGCCCCACTTTATGTTCAACTGAGGCGAACTCAAATGGGGCAAATGAGATTCTAACATGGATCTCGTCTCTTACAACTAACAATAGTTGCCCCTCCTTGTGTCGAAACGCCAATCACGTCTTAAATCCGTACACTTGCCATTGTGGCTACCCCCTTGTTGTAACACTTGAGATCCGAGCGCCAATCTCCTCAATTGTTAATGATACGAGTTTGTGGGACTTGCTGAAGGCTCAAACATATGATTCACTAAGGAACCTCACATCTCAGATTAAACCACCATTGGAATTGGACAGTGAGCAGCTATGGGTATATCAAGCCCAACATGCAAATCACTCTAAAGTCCATGTCAGACTATATATTTTCGCACCGGTTGGAGCCGAAGTTATGGACCGGCGAACCGATAATTTAATCAAGGGTTGGTTCACGACTCAAAAAGTTGAGTATACTAGCCCTTTCAAGCCGGAGTTTGTCATCGATATTGAACCTTCTCAAGGTACCTTCTGATATTCTAGTCAATATGTAGTATGGACAATGTATAACTCAACTGCCTATTTTAGGCTTGTAAGTAATGTCTAGAACGTGCGCTTTGATAAACATATATGTATCCTTAACCAATTGGTAGAAACTGTCGGTGACCGTCTCACTATCCAAGTATGCCGCGTATTCAGTTATCAAATCGTTACCCCTCTCTAACTAAGTACTATGGGTTTCTGCACACAGTGTTGAGGTCAAAGAGGTTTATTACAGCCATATCGAAAAAATCATTCCGCTCTTGATTTTGAACTTTCCAAATTTCATTCAATTATCTACTCTAGTAAAATTATTATCCATGAGCTTAACAAAGAATTGCCTTCGATCGCGTCACTCTAACATGTGTAACTTTTGTGACTTGTCACTGTGAATGCCTTAATGATGTCGAGTGACATGGTGTGACACAGAAGCGGGATCTGTGACGTTTGGTGTCTCAAAGTTGGCCATAATCGGCATTGCTACTGGAGCTGGAGCGCTGTTGGCACTTCTCGGATTCCTTGTTTCGGTAGCATTAAGGCAAAAACGCAGATTTGAGGAAGAACGAAAGAACAATCCTTTCGGTAAAGAAAAATTCATGGAGTTTCCTAGCAAGAGCATGTGTAATCCTTTTTCAGTACGGATGCTACGCACGGCGGTGAACGGTGATTTGAATGGCGGGCTTGCCGGTGTGCAGGTGCATGGGCAAAAGCTGAAGATGGCAATGCACCTCAACTGAAAGGAGCTCGCTGGTTCACTTTCAATGATATGAGGAGAATGACAAATGATTTTGACGATGACAATATGCTCGGGGCTGGAGGGTATGGCAAGGTGAACCATTATTTTTATCCGGAAAATGTATAATCGTATCATTTTGTATTAGACCTGGTCAAATTTGGTCTAATGCTGTAAGTGACCTGGTAAAGTTTTAACTGTGCGCGCTAGCGCATGTTCCAGGTCTTACTGGAACATGGGAGTTATTTTAACAACAATAGTGGTAACTGATGGTGGTGCCTATGGTTGAGCAGGTATATAAGGGTGTTATGGCGGAAACAGGTGTAATACTCGCAGTGAAAAGGGCACAAGAAGGTTCCAAACAAGGTGCCGACGAATTCAAAAATGAGATAGAGCTCTTATCCCGGGTTCACCACAACAATCTAGTTGGACTTGTGGGGTTCTGCTACGATAAGGCTGAGCAGATGCTTGTGTATGAGTTCGTGCCTAATGGTTCTCTGACAGATTGGCTTCGTGGTGAGTGAGAACCTTGCAAGATGGGGCTTTACAACTCAGAACCGTGTGTTTCTTGGCGTGATTCATTCAGTAACTTTATAAGCCGTAGACGCTACTTGAGATTTTGGTAGTAGTCCACTGAAACAATTGGAGAGAATCTCTGTATCACAAGGAAAACCGTGGTCAACAGCCTAAAGAAATTCTGAGGTTGTGCTCAAAAATTATGGGTAACAGAAGTTGTTCTGACCAAGTTATGTTTCCATGATTTTTGCTACGTAGCCCGAGGTTTTGAACGTAATCTTTTTATGGATATGCCTGAGCATTTTGTTATACATATTTTTTTTTATAATGGTGGCTTTCAGAAGCATCTCAGTATTTTCCTTCTCAAAATTATGTAGTTCACTGATTCCCAAAAGAAATTGCAGGATTGAAATCAAACCAACCTCTTGATTGGGACAGGCGGCTCTTGATAGCACTGGGTGCAGCCAGAGGCTTAACGTACTTGCATGAGAATGCAGAACCACCAATAATTCACAGGGATGTCAAATCGTGCAACATTCTGCTGGACATGAGCATGAATGCTAAGGTCGCTGATTTTGGTCTTTCGGTGATGGTTTCCAGTGTGAACGACAACAAACGTGATGAAACGATCAGGGGCACGATGGTAAATTCATCACCTTCTACTGTTTCATTGGAAAACTATCTTTAGCAATGAAACTTAAAAACTGTTCCAGACACATGGTTGTTGATTATCTTTGCAATAGATATGTGCATTGTTGTTGTCTTCCTACTTATTGGTTTCACACGGTTGATCAACCGATGTCAGGGTTACCTCGATCCGGAGTATTACGCCACAAATATTATGTCCTCAAAGAGCGATGTTTATAGCTTTGGAGTGGTTCTACTTGAGATTTTTACGGGCAGACCTCCAGTCAGTCGAGAAGGCCACATCGTCACAGAATTCAGGAAGATAATAGCCAAATCAGGGGTAACCGGTGTCTTCGAGCTGCTTGACCTTGTGCTTGTTGGCACTCCCGTGCACGACCTGGACACGTTTCTGAAGATAGCTCTAGAATGTGTGGAAGATACTCCAACTGAGAGACCCAGCATGTACGAAGTGGTGAAGCAACTGGAGGCTCTTATAGGACCTAAATCCCTCTTGTCATCTGGTGGTGAGGACCCCTTTATTGCACAGATGGCGAAGGCGAAGAAACCTAGAGTACCATTGCAAATCTTCAGTTCCGCATTGGAAGATTTCAGGCCTACTTCTGAACGACGTTTACAGCCATCAGCATCCTCACATCGATCCTCGTCCTCGTTCAAGTACAGTGGTCGCTTCAATCCTAGCCCTAGATAATTGTTCATTATTTGAAGGCTTATTACTATGCAAGCTTGAGACACTTGAGGCTGATTTAGAAGTGCAACAAAATCAGTTGTGATGCCTTTCCGAGAGCACTGCTTAATTCCTGTCCGTTTCCGGGTTGCAGGCAGGCTACAAACTTGCGTGGTGTCAGCAGTTTTACTATCTTTCTACTCTTTGATTTTGTAAACTCTTTAAAATATTCTCAGTAGTACTAGAAGGCCATATTTGGGCTAAGATTTTCAGGAGCTAATGATTGCCCACCGATACCTGCCACTAAAGACTATGATTCTGCCTGCATATGTGACTCGATAATTCTCATAAACGCCAAAACCCAATCCAATTCTTCGCAAATTCTGGCACTAGAGTATCTTAATAGCTTCTCTTAATTGAGATGAGACTTGTTTGCAGCTGTGGAAAGTCCTGTTTCTGCCGAGTTTTATGATAATCCGTGCGGCACCCATGTCAGGGTAGTTTGTGCCGTTTATGCTATGACTAGTGTGGCTGAGGACCAAAAGGATTCCATACTCGCAGTATGACTTCTTTTAGTTTCTCCTGAAAGCGTGACCACCACCCCTACAATGTATCTAGGTGGTTGTCAAATTTGAACTCAACTTGAAAACTGTCCAGGAAGCTACAGACTGATATGGCTATACGTGAGCCTCCACATTCTTGTGTAAAGGAGTCCTGAAGCTGATGAGTAAATATGAGATTATAAAGTTCTCGATCCTCTCCATCGAACACCAAACTGAAGGGGATTTCCCTCGAGAAATCCGTATGATTAGCTTTTGGGTGCCTGGAGTTCCTAGCGCACTTTCTTACTTCAATGGCGACTTACAGTGCAAGAAGAAAAATGGAACGCTGAGCTGTTCTACCCTGTGGAGGTGCTTGTGAATTGCTGGCGATCTTTGACTGAATTGGTCCCTCAGCTAATCACTGGCAGACATATAGTGCTGTAACTATTTGCCTTACACAAGGGATTCAATCTTACAGCAACTGTTACTGCAATTGGCGCTGAGGTAACTTGGAAATATACTTGGAAATACACAAGTCAAGTGAGGAAAGCATCAGCTTCTGGGGAGCTCATATCTTGGGAGTCCCACATCGGAATCCGAGGTTGAAGGCCATCTTCACGGTGCTTCCCATTCCACGTTCTAAGCCCTATGTTCAACTCCCTCTCTCTATCTCTTAACAGATAAAACGAGCACAAGATCCAGCCTAAGTATCTCAACAATCCACTGCAACTCGAAAACGATGATTCCTGAAGCACCGTTGATCTCGTTGCCATACTAGATGCAATCACCAGAAAGACTGCTAATGGAAGACGAGACACAAATTTTCTCTTCTAAAAAGAGACTCTTATGGCATAAGGAGCACCTCTGCTCCAGTCCTGTGCCACTTCGAGATGAACAGTCGATGAGCAGCATTACTCGCAGCAGAACCAAGGCTCTCTCACAACGCAACTTCCGTGACGTACCCTGTATATTTTTCCGAGGGATGTTCACTGTTCCATGGGCCTCAGGCGGATTCGGTTTCAACCGATGTGGATTGGAAACAGATTTTGTCATACACAGTTCTTGTGGTTACGTTCAATGCCCTACGCCTTGCCGCAGTTCAAGACCTTGTAAACTGTAACGCAAATGCAGTGTGCAATCAGTAAAAATTTGCACTTAAAAACTGGGCAGATCATTACGGACATGGAGCCATTTCTGACGTATCGAGTCTCGATGTACAAGTCTTTCCTCCACATGAACGGAACATTAGTAATCGTGTGATTAGCGGGCGTAATATTCCCAATTGTTATTCATAGTACACTAATCCAACATCATTTTGCAGATTTTTCCTTGACACTTCTCAGGACTCACGATAAAAGAGCAGATTACAGCAAATCACAAGTGTGCACAAGTCCGCCTTACTAAATATCTCATACTTCAACCCGACACAAATGATGAATTGAATGTTCAAGAGTCGTACATACCAAGTCTAACAATGCAACAGAACCAACGAACATGAGAACTTTATATAAATAGTTTGTTAACATTGCAATTTAGCCAGGGCGGCAAGCACAGCGTCAGTCTGTTCTGGCTTCCCAACAGAAATGCGAATATAGTTTTGTAGTTCGGCCTTCTCGTAGTGGCGAACCATTACTCCGTCCTTAGCAAGTGCAGCCTGTACATGATTAAAGAAAAACATGAATCAAGGCACACATAGAAAACCTCGTCAACCAAAACGAAGGTTCAAAGGTTAGGCCACTATTACAATGTCTTACGTGCTTTACACTCACTTCCAGCTGAGGTAGCAAGCATTACTTCCAAGTTCAAAATCTAAATTAACATTCACATCAATAACTTAATCACAACAAATATTACGAGAACAGATACAGCCATAAGGAGATTCTAATCACAAATTTAGTACGACAGAGGATACATGTGCAAAAGACAGGAAAAGAAAGACAACTAACTAATTAAGATGAGCTTAAAAAGGTTTTACCTTCAGTTCCCTGGCAGTTTTGTTGCCCGTTACGGAACACAGAATGAAGTTGGCATGACTGGGATATGGCTCCAGAAAGGAAAACTCTTTCAGCTTCACAAACATGCGCTCCCTTTCTTCCACCAGTGCGTTCTTCACATCCTGTTATACAAGCATGAGCTATTGAGGACAAGAGAAAATGCAACCGGTATTAATTTTAGGTACATCTCTAAATAGGTGGTAAACTGTACAAAACTTATTGCCGATAGCAGCAGACTTAGACACTATCAGAATAAACTGCTAGATTTGAATATTATGAGGTTTAACTTTAAGTCGCCATTACCTCCAAGTATTTTGGATTAGTAAGAGCTGCACATGCAGCCACTTCAGCAGCAACAGAGACATTGTAGGGCTGCTTGGCTCGCCACAAGTACTCAATCAGAGATAACGGAAATGCACCGTAGCCAACCCGCAGACCTGCTAACCCTGCTCAATCCCGCCAAGTTATTGATTTATAAGGAGAATGAGCAAATCAATTCTTAAATCATCCAACATGGAACGAGAAGCGAATCCCATAATAAATAGCAACAATTTTTATACGCACTTAAAAACCGGTTGTTAACTAGAACATGATGCTTGAACAGTACAGTTCCTCAAAAGAGTACCCAACAAAAATGTGATGCATCTACGCTACCATTAAGAATATTTAGCAACCAATTCTCAAAATTCAATTTCCAGGTTTCACTGATGATAAAGTACACACGGGGATAAGATGTGCAATGTTTCTTACCAGCACGTTTACTGAAAGTGCGCAAAACAATCAGGTTCTCATAATTCGTCACCCAGTTAATGCGAGAGGGTTCTCGAGCAAACTCCACATAAGCCTCATCCAGAACTACTAAGACGGGTAGATCCAATATAGTCTTCAACTCATCGTCCGACACCAAACTACACAAACGATTACACTGATTACGTTTAGATCGATCGACATGAGAAACATAAGCACATCTAATATTAATGTCACACTGAGATAAGGGAATGTTTCAACACACTAAATTTTATGGTGGATTTGACGTCACATAGATGCTAGTGCTCAGAAGGATGTGACACTAAAAATGATTGACCATATTTCCACAAAGTGCTGGCTGCAAAGTTCAATGAGTGTAAGTTAAAATTACAAATACTCCGCATTGCCCCGCAACAAATACATTCAAAATAGCAATGACATTCCCTTGACACCTTTTGTCTATCAGAACATATCCAAGAAAATTACCATCCATCAGGGTTGTTGGGCGAAGTCAAAAAGACTATCTTAGGATTCTGTTGTCGCACGGTGTCAACAATGGAAGGTACATCCAACGCAAACCCTGGCAACCTAGGAACTGCGAAATCCTCAAGACAAGAGATGGCATCAGTCATAGAGGAAAGGACGGCGACATCCTGGTAAGAGAAAGGAAACAAAAAAATCGAAGGATTAACTTTGAACATAAGTATAATAGCAGTGAACCAAAATTCATGAGAATGTAACAAAATATACAGAATAATTTTTGGAAAAAAGCCACCTTTGATGACAGAAGCTCCGTTCACTGCAGCGTCAAATGCATACATAGTGAATGTGGGTGGACAGTCCAATATCTTGTCACCAGGATCTAATGTACACCTGTTTGAGACCGAATCACATGCCAAGGACACTTCAATTCAGAAAGACAACTAAAGATCTCAGAAACACCAAGAACCGTCATGAAAGCTGATACCACGGAGAATTTACTTGCCAGAAACTACAGCAACCTTTTAAATGAAATTCAGTTTAAAAGTGGTACCTCTAAGCAAATATATAATAGATAGATAGCAATGTCCGTGTGAAATGTAGTACACTGCTGTCCAACTAGATTCCTCAAAACCAGGCTGTACATTACATGAACCTGATCCAATTAGAACATTACCGCATAATAAGGTCAATGAGCTCATCAGCACCACAACCGACCAGAATGTGTTCAGCTCCTATTCCTGTATCCTCAGCTAGTGCAGCCCTCAACCTGCGACTTTCTGGGTCAGGATAAATGTTTGGAAACTCCATGCTGCCCAGCGCTTCCAAGACCTGCCAAAGCCCACGTATTGAGGACATCGTCATTCATGAATAATAAGAAAATATGGTGGCAATTTAGACATCACTGAACACAGCTCAATTGTTAACATGAGTAGCGAAAGATATGTTATACAGTTCTCAAAAACATGCTAAAACAGTATTCTACTCTCCTTAGTGTTGAAGCACCCGTTGAGGCTTTTTTAAATAAGAAAACTACCTCAGGGGGCGGTCCATATGGATTCTCATTGGCATCCAACTTAACAATGTCCTTCGGGTGCCTGCCTAGTCTCGCAGACAATATCTGCACATAACTGAAGAAAATAACTCCAAAGCTAGAATACAATCTAAAGATTTCTCACATGTTCTCAAATGTAAAGGCTCCAACTATGATACATTACTGTAGAATCGAGGCTGGCCATAATCTACTCTCTCAAGTCATATTGCTCTTGGAGAAAGTAAAATGTACAATCACCACAGGGTAATTTTGAAAAGCATCCTAAATTCAATGTGCAGTCGAACATAAAAATTAAATGAACCAACGTGGTGAGCGTAGCTTACGATGAAAGCATACTACAAAAGTGGCATTTGCCAAGTAAGATTAGGGTAGAGAAGGGGAGATACAGCAACAGTCACAAGAGCAGACTTCACACTGCGGCAGTCGTTTCAAGAGGAACATACCTCAAAAGGCTCAATGGGAGTATAGGGTGCAAGAGTCTGCAAGTGCTTGCGGATAAAGGAGGCTCCCTTGGTAGCCAGCGGTACTGTTGTGAGTGCATCCGCGGACGCAGACACCCTACTCATCGAAGGCGACCGAAAAGACAGTGGTGTTCCTGACAAGGAATTTGCCCCTGCGGCTATCAAGTTCGCAGCCCGCAGCGACATCTGAGCCACTTCTGCAAGAAATTCACCCAATATTTTGAAACCTAAATAAGTAGTAGAGACCTTACTTCAATTGGGAATGAATCTCTTGGGCACAAGGCAAAACTCACAAATCCAACCACGAAACACAGATCTACACTCGAGAATACAGTCGTCAGTCAGCTAGCAACTCGACTTGCAATGGAAAACCCGGTGCGTGATCGCGGAACCCACCGAAATGGAACTTGAAAGGTGATGGACAAATCATAGAATGCGAGATGAGAAACCGAATCGAGGTGATTGCGTTGGAGCTCGACGAATGCCTGGGCGGATGGCCGAGGCCGAGGCCGAGGCCGCTCCTCGAGTCGGGTTTAGGGTTTTGCAGCACGTTTTGTCTTGGCTTAGTTTGTCTTTGGTATCTTGCAGAGGGAAGTGGACTTGTCCATAAGATGCACGGTGTCCAAGAGTATGGCTTAGTGAGTGCACTAAATTTTAATTTTTAGTAGTTTGGTTTGATAAAATTGATACCACAATAGGTCTTTAGTAAATCTATAGTACACAAGTAATATACAAATATCAGTAATTGAGTTTTTTGATGAAGTAATAGTTCAATTTTTGTTTAATTATTATTTGGAGAAATTTTCAAGGCATCTAAAGTTGATGTTTTGGTGACTCTAAATGTTGGTTAATTAGTTTAACATTAAAAGTTAAATTTCAACCAAAGTTATGAAGCTATCCAATTTTATTGTATTCTTTTCATTGATTTGAAAATAAATAAATAAATAAATAAAACTAAAACTAAAACTAAAACTAAAAACTAAACTAAAAATGAAAATTAGAACAAATATTTGGTTTACGTAAAACTGTAGAAGATATCAAGATGACAATGAATTAGAGAATCTTTGATATATTGTAAATGGTATTAGATATTATTAAAAAAATCAAATGAATAATACTTATTTTAAATTTAGCATATAAATGTTGTTGAGTTTCTATCACATTTAAATACGTATGGTATTATTAAAATTATTTTTTTATAATACTTTTTTAAAAATAAAAACTTGTAGTTCAAAAATTTACATGATCAATTGATATCTCAATTGAAATTTATTTTGGCTTTATAAATTCATGTTTCTTACAATATATATGTAGTTTTAAGTTTTTACTCTGAAAACTAACCTCAATTTAAAACTTAAAAATTGAACGTTGATATAAAGTAAAAAAAACTACATCCGTTGATTTCTTAATCCTAATTGATTGAATATAGGCTAAATGTTCAAAACCTACCTATGTAGAAACATTACGTTAAAGATACTCAACACAAGATTGGTTGAATTGACACTTTCAACCAATTGAGAAAATGCTACCATCTGTTAGATGCATAATCTGAAGACCAATGCAGAAAGTTGTTTTTCCTAGCATTTTCATCTCAAATTCATGTATAAGTAGGTTAGTAGTTGTAACACATGCAGATGTAGTGCCTACTAGGTTAAGATCATCAACATATACAACAATGATTACAAAACTAGTTTTATTTCGTTTGATAAACAAACAAGAGATTAGTGGATTACTTATAAAATTATTTGTAATTAAATAATCTCAAAGACGTTCATACCACATGCGTACGGATTGTTTTAAATCATACAAGGCCTTATATAATTTAATACCACGATATTATCCTAGAGCGGGTTGATTTAGAGTTCATGTTTCTAAGCTAGGTGGAACTTTCATATAAATATTTGCATCAAGAGAACCATATAGATATGCAGTTACTACATCCATCAGATGCATCTCAAGGGTGGCATGCATTGTCATTCCAATAATATTTCAAAATGTAATTGAATCCATGATTGGAGAATATGTAGATTCATAATCAATGCCAAATCATTGAGTTAATCCTTGAGCAATAAGATGAGCTTTATAACGGGTTATTTGGCCTTGAGCATCTTGCTTGCATATTAATACCATTTTATATCCCACATGGCGAGATATAAGAGTATCTACAATTGGACCAAAGACTTTCTTCTTACGCAAAGAGACATACTCCTCCTCAATAGCAATTTTCCATTTTCACCAATCAGAACGACGCATCGCCTCTTCAATGGTTTGAGGTTCAAGATCGTCTTCCTTGAAAGAAAGGGCTTCTATAATCATATATTAAATGATACATCTACCGTAATAGATGGTCTGTCCCAAATATCATCTATAACACAATACAGAATAGATAATTCTTTATACAACTTGTTCTTATTCCTTCCAATTCCAAGCTTGTTTTTCATAGGAACTGAAGGTACATTATGCATGGATGTATCATCATGAATTGGTAGTCCCGCAAGATGAGTCGCAATTTCTTGAGAAATAATACCAGGACTAGTCAATTTTATAGTTTTCTTCTTATGTGGGTGCTTATTTGGTCCACGAGTTCTTTTAGTTGTTGTTGTTATAACTTGAGGTATTGTAGTCAATGGCACTGCAATCTGAGCAGGTGCATTCTGAGCCTCATTAATAAGAACTCTTGTAATTTTAGGTACAACATTGAAGCCATCAGGTGTTTCATCTAAGATCCGTTTTAGATGCAAAATCTTAGCAACTTCAGTTTCTACCAAAGATGTCCTAGGATCACAATTCATTGTAAACGTTTTTGGTGCTTCAAATATGAGTACTTTATTTCTTTGTTGATTGGATACTCCTCCTTGAAGAGATGGAAATACATTTTCTTCAAAACGACAATTTTGCAAACATGCACGTAATAATATGCCAGTTAATGGATCAACAATACGAATAATGCTTCGAGAATCAAAACCAACATATATGCCTTCTTGTCCATGAGCTTCAATGGTACGTTGTTGAGGTTTTGGTATTGGAATGCAAGTGCGGTAACCAAATACTTGTAAGTGAGATACATTTGGAACACGATCCGAGATGAGTTCATGTGGTGAAACAATTTCAAGAGAAGAAGGGCGGAGGTGTATTAATGTTGCAACATGTAAAACTGCATGAACCCACATAGATGTAGGTAAATTTGCGTGAAGGAGGAGTGGCCGGGTTATGAGTTGTATATGCTTTATAAATGACTCAGCAAGTCTATTTTGAATATGTTCATATCGAACACAATATATCAACTCAATTCATGTTGCAGTACAATAGTCTTCAAAAGACTTTGATGCAAATTCTTTTGCATTATCCATACACAATGTTTTTATAAGATAATCAAGAAAATTTGCTCGAAAATAAATAAGCATAGATACAAGATTGGCAAACACCATGTTTCGAGTTGATAATAATGAAACATATGATTGTTTACCTGATGCATCAACAAGGACCAAAAAATAACGAAATGGTCCTGATATTGGATTGATAGAACTACAAATATCACCATGCAATCTTTCAAGCATTGGTGGTAATTCTTGTGAAAGTTTCCAAATTGAAGGCCAAGTAACCATTTAACCTTGCACGCATGCACAACATAATTCCATAGAGTCTACATCTGTAGGCTTTAAATTGTGCCCAATTATACATGGAATAATCTTTCTAAATAGTGTGGATCTTGGATGTCCCAATCATCCATGCCAGAGAGAAACATGACTCTCTGTGATAGATGATGCAAAATTAAATATAATGGGAGGCCAAATCACAATTCGATATAAACTATTTTCTGTAGCAAAAGTTTTTTCAACAACTTTATGGTTCTTCGCAAGAATCAAAACCTCTTTTCTATTTAAAGTGGCGGTCGAGAGGTAATAACCATTAATACGCACATCTCGGTAGCTGATCAGACTCCGAGATGCTAAGGGTGGAAAAATTGCATGTTTACATTTTATGATGGAATCCGCAAGTAATTTTACCATTGCTATGCCCTCTTGGAAAAAAAACGCATTTGCTCTAGCCATGGTCATCACATTTTTAGTTTGCTAAGTTGAAGTTTTTTCAATAAAAAATCATCTATCTTGCAAGATAGTATGTGTTGTTGCAGAATCAATGAGTGCATCATTTGATTCATTATTAGAGGTTTCATCATTCATATAAGCCTCTAAGTCATCAACACTAATTGAATCCATGGACGCATCCATGATATAAACTTCATGAGCCTTAGCTCGTAGTTTCTTATTTTCTTGAAACATTTTAATAAAATATTTTGAAGTATTGCACACATGTGCTAAATGTCCAATCATTCCACACTTATGGCAAGAACGCATATTTGATTTTTGTTTTCTACTATAATTAATAGTAGAACATTTATTCTTTCCATATGGGTAGAAATAGTCATGACTATGAGTACCCTGATACTTATGAGCACGTTTTCCATGTTTATATAATTTCTTCTTAGACTTTGAAATATTAAATACATGAGATTTTGGAACTGTAGTTCCAATAGGACGAGCTTTTGCATTACGCAAGAGTAGCTCATTTTACTTCTTTGCAAGAAATAAATAGGACATGAGATCAGAATGACTCTGAAATTTTACGTTCCTGTATTGTTGTGCAAGCACAACAGATACAGGAAAAAATGTAGAGAGAGTTTTCTCAATCATTTCTTCTTTAGAAATGCTTTATCCACATAATCGTAATTGTGAGACAATACTATACATTTTACTATTGAAAGCATTTAAATTTGGAAAATCTAAGACACGTAAATGTGTCCAATTATAACGTACACATGGAAGGAAAATGGTCTTTTGATGTTCAATCCTAGATTTTAGATTCTTCCAAAGTTCTACAGGATCTTCCATTTCCAAGTATTGATGTTGTAATGTAGGTACAAGATGACGACGAAGGAGAAGAAGTGTTTTCCAACGAATAGCAAGAGGTATAGAAATACTTATTATAGGAGATTCTTCAAACATAATGGCATTCGAGAGTTGTTCTATAAATAAATTTACTTTTGCCATTTTTGCTTGTAATAGATTATTGTTTCCATCCACAATCAATGGTAGAAATAAAAGAGCTTGAAAATGTTGGGATGCACTGGTAATAGTTGAAACCATAGTAGAAGCACTTGAAGATGTTGAAGCACTCATTATAAATAAATCTAAAAAGAAAATACAAGTTGAAGAGAAAAGTTGAGTAAAAACATATCTTGAAATATAAAGTCAAATAAAATGATAAACTTGAACTTGAAAAACAAAAATATTATATATATATATATATATATATATATATATATATATATTTTAACAAGGTTGTGGATTAAGGCAGCAAAACATCAATAAGATGGCGGCAGCAGGCAGCGGTAGGGCGGCAGTAGTAGGGCGGCAGGGTGGCAGTAGTAGGGCAGCAAGGTGGCAGTAGTGGACAACAGCGGCAGTGGCAGGCAATAGTGGACGACAACAGTAGCTGTGGTAGGGCGGCAACAGCGGGCAATAGTTCGGTGGAAGTTTGGCGGCAGCTTGGCAGTTGTTCGGGGCGTAGCAGGGAACAAGCTGGAGTGGAGCTTGGCTGAATCAAGTATTCTAAAGAAGTATTCTAAGCAAGCAGGGCAAAGAGTGGAACATGTGCTCTAAGCAAGCAGCTAATGTGTAAGGGGCCATCAAGAAGAGCAACAAGATCATGAGGCAAACACTAAGCAAGAATAGCAAGAGGTTTGAAGAGTTAAGACTAGAGCAAAAAAAATTGTGATGGTGTATAGAAGAGAGTCATGCTGATAATGTGTTCAAAATGTTTAGAAAAATACAAGAATAATATTAAGTCATATACACACACTAGAATAGTGGTAAGTCATACACACAAGAGGGTTTCTAAGGAGAGAGAGCTTCACACATAAAATCTATTGATCTGATTGTGTCTCGTATACATGAAGAGAAAAGGGGAGAGGATAAATAGTACTTCTCCACTAGTCTCTAAATATTGTAGCTGCAGTATTTATTGTAGTCTACAGTAAATATTATGTAGAGCACCGGCTACATTTAATGATTTCAACACTAATAGGACACAAAAGCCACAAAAGTCACAAAACATATGTAAATATAAAAAAATCATGGTGAGTTGAAAAAGTAACAATAACTAAAACAGCAACTATTTAGACAAGCCCCAAGAAAGAGATAAGGTGAAGAATGAAGATCCATTCCATTCCAAGATTCAACTTAATCCGAAAGGTAGAAGACAAAGACCTTTCCTCAATTGTGTAGCAACGGAGCCAATCGAACTGAATACCATCCAACGAACTGAACATATATCATCCAATTAAATATCACGAATACCATCCAACAAATTACAGAAAGTATCATCCAACAAATTCCACATGTATACACAGTGAGGGCATTCCGAGGTTGACGCGAAGGGAGGGTGGCCGGAATCCAAGGGGGGGAGGGAGTCCATAAGCCTGATCTGGTGCGGGGGATGCGCTATCGTTTAGCTGGAGGAATGGAATGGAATGGAATAGGAGCATAATGAAATTCGGCACTATCTCAAATCCCCTCCTGCAAATTCCCTGACCCAGTCCCCAAGGCTTATCGTCACCACCAACCTCAATTTAGGGTTTGCCCTCCGAATGGTTTTCACCGCATCGTCGGAGCATTGTCTCTCGATGCGCCATGGCTGGGGCAGTTCTCGCCAGATCTCAACTACGACGCGACACTGTTCAAGCCCACTGATTGATTTGATTGAATAAGCTTTGGTCGACTTGGGTTTTCATGATTGGGATTTTCGGGGGTTATTATTTATTTATTTATTGATTTAGCCCCTTCTTAAAGTTCTGAAGGATTGAGGGTTTAGGGTTTTAGATCGTTCAAGCATGGCAGCGATGGCCGGGTGTTGCAAATTGGAGGTAGTTGGTCGTGTACATTCGCTGCGATCAGAGAGTAGAGGGATCGGTTCACCTCTGTCTGACGTCGTGAAGCTCTGGTGCGGTAGTAAGACTAGCTTTAGCTCGGTGCGAGCAGTGGGAAACAATGCTGGGTTTTCGGGTTTACGTGGGTGTATCGAGACGGGGAAGTTGGAGAATTGGAGTAAGGTGGGAGGATTTGCCAGGAATGGACGCAAAGGGGCTGCTGCGACAGCAGCGATGCAGGGAGAAGGTAGTGTCGGAGTGAGGAATGATGTAGAAAGTGGAGAGTTACACAGTAATCCTATCCCGGTGCTGGTAATTGGAGGGGGTGGAAGAGAGCATGCCCTTTGCTATGCATTGCAGAGGTCGCCTACTTGTAGTGAGGTCTTCTGTGCTCCGGGTAATGCTGGGATTAATACTTCCGGAGACGCCATTTGTGTCGGGGAATTGGACATTACGTACAGTTCTGCGGTGATTGAATTCTGCCAGAAGTCGGGTGTGGGGCTTGTGGTTGTCGGCCCGGAGGCTCCTCTCGTGGCTGGTTTGGTGGACGATCTGGTCGAAGCGGGAATCCCTGCTTTTGGTCCGTCTGCGAGCGCAGCTGCTCTCGAGGGCTCTAAGGATTTCATGAAACGGTTGTGTGACAAGTATGAGATTCCAACCGCGAAGTATCAGTCGTTCACGGACGCAGAGAAGGCGAAGACATATATTAAAGAACAAGGTGCGCCAATTGTGGTAAAAGCGGACGGCTTGGCAGCCGGGAAAGGTGTAGTAGTAGCGATGACGTTGGAGGAAGCATATGCAGCGGTGGATTCCATGCTGGTGAGCAGCGAATTCGGTTCAGCGGGGGGGCTAGTGCTCGTGGAGGAGTTTCTTGACGGTGAGGAAGTGTCGTTTTTCGCAATCGTGGACGGAGAGAATGCGGTACCAATGGCATCGGCTCAAGATCACAAGCGAGTTGGAGATGGAGATACAGGGCCGAATACGGGAGGTATGGGGGCCTACTCCCCCGCCCCAGCCCTCAGCCCTGAGCTAGAGCGAAAAGTCATGGAAACCATCATCTATCCTACTGTGAAGGGCATGCGAGCCGAAGGTTGCAAGTACGTGGGGGTTCTCTACGCAGGTGTGATAATTGAGAAGAAGAACGGCTCTCCGAAGCTTTTGGAGTACAATGTTCGGTTCGGTGACCCTGAGTGCCAGGTGCTCATGATTCGATTGCAGTCAGATTTGGTGCAGGTGTTGTTGTCTGCATGCAAAGGAAACTTGAATGGAGTCCAACTGGAATGGGCCGAGGATCCCGCCCTTGTGGTTGTGATGGCCAGCAACGGTTACCCAGGAAAGTACGTCACCGGAACAAGAATCAAGAATTTGGATGTAGCGGAAGTCGTTGCTCCTGGGGTGAAAGTTTTTCACGCTGGCACAACTATGAACTCCGAAAATGAAATTGTTGCAGCGGGAGGGCGTGTTCTTGGCGTTACTGCAGTTGGAAAAGATATTGCGGAGGCGCAAAGCAAGGCCTACAGTGCCGTGGATCAGATAGACTGGCCAGAAGGTTTTTGCCGTAGGGATATCGGATGGAGAGCTGTCTCTCGATTGCAGAGTGTGAATCTTTCGTAGTGTACTTCGCAGGGGATGAAAGTATTCTTTTGTCTGGTATGAATCACGCTTGGCCATGGTCATTTTGGTCTGTTTATTTGATCGACATGAGACTGGCATTAAAGCAGTCACTGTATACACCTTTCCGTCTAGTGCGCGAGAGTAGAAGCTGCAGGTTCAGAGTCAAAGCGAGGACTTGTTCCCTAGTGCTCCCGTGTTTGGTACTCTCATTTTAGGGGATCTTATCACAACACGCTACGTCATGTTGGCGCCCCCTGGGTGGCAGGGTCATGCAGCCTGACATTACACATTTTAATGCAGCGGAATGTCTATTATGGTTCAGGTCATGTGTGCACTTTGTTAGAAGTAACACTCAGCTTCTGGAAGATTGTGATGTCATTGTTGCCTAGACATCATCATGCAATGGTGTAATATAATCTTTAGTTAACTTGCAAGCTTCAGTGACCCCACATTTGTGATGTAATGTAATCTTTAGTTAATTTGCCAATTGCTTCAATGATCCCACATTTGTTGTAGAGACATCAAGTAGTTAAACTCATTTTCATAAATTGGATTTTTTCTTTTGTTAAATAACTAATTACACTGTTCTATCAGAGCATTAAAACTTTTATGGTATGAAGGCAAGCATAGTGAACTTTGCTCTTATATGCTCAAAGTGCTACAATAAGTCTAGATAGAGTATTATTTTTTTGATTGAATTCTAGTTCTACACCATGGTAGAAGACAACCTTTCAATGACTATTGGCGATACAAATAAGCTAGCTGGAGAACCTAACTATCATGTTTAAAATCTTAAGATGAAGGTACATCTTAAGAAATATGATCTATGCGAGGTGACAAAGGCAAAGATAGGACTAGCAATGTATCTAATGAGGGTAAACGGAGTTGATGTCATGGACATACATATTTATCTTGATAATTATCTAGATAATAAGAATAGGTAGAAGTAAGTCAAAGTAGATAAATAAGATAATATCTTGTGGGAAGCTTCCTAGATGTTGCTTTGCCTTAATACATATCTATAGGTGATTGGTAGGTTGAAAACTTGGCCAACAAAGAGGCCATGTGTCAACATGTTGACCACTTATAGTACAAATTGGACATATGGCGCATACCTAAGAAACTTGCCTTGCAAATTAGACATGTGTCTTGCAAGTTGGATGTGTATTAGAGGTCCATAGCATATCGCCACATAGTTCTTAGTTAAGTAGTATATATAGAGGCAAAAGTGAGGCCTTCTTCACTCTTGTCAACTCCTTTCTTGCTTATAATTTAGTTTCAAGAGTCTTATGTTTTCTAGTCTTTGGCAATAGCTATTCCAAATCTTCCTTGAATATACATACTTTCTTCTATTTTGTTCCTTTTCTTTTGTCACAGATTCCACGAGTTTATGCATCTTCTTCTAGTTTGTGTCCTTGATAGTTGATAACAATCACCATATATTGTGGACAATAAAAAAAATATGGCTTTAAGCGCCATTGTGTTATCTCTGAGCAAGGATTTAATTGATATAATGGTAGAGTATGAGAATCCAACAGATGCTTTGAGGGATGTTGGAATAAAACTTTTAGTCTAAAGATTCTATATAAGTTTTGATATTGACAAATCAATTACATGTATTTTTCATGAATAAAGGTGGCTTAGTAGAGAATCATACTATGAAGGTACATGAAATAAAGGAGAAGTTGGTAGCCATGGAAAAAAGTATACTTGACAAGTCTTTACTATAGATTGTGTTGAATGGAATGCCACATTTATACAAAGGAGTGCTGTAGGAAATTATATCTATGGAAGTTTTGCCAACATTTGAGCAAGTTGTTACAAAAATCATCACAAAGGACGTTGTCAAGAGTTGAGGATTAAGAAGATTGATGAAGACGAGATAACTTTGATAATATAATAGAAGAAGATACTAATATTGTATGAAAACAAAGTACCTATGCAAGGAAGATTTGACAATCCAAGACGAGGAGTAATCCAATATTTCTTTAATAATTATGTATGGAAGGGACTTGGTTATTTTACATATGGTTAAGAAGGCCATATTGCACAAGAATATCCAAAGTGGCAATTAGAAGGACAATCCTACAACAACAACAACAATATGCTCAATCACATGATATGTGATACTTATAGTAAGTATGGAGATGCTAATGATAAATTTGATGTAGCTATAGTATACATCACTAACCATTTGAATTGCAACTACTGTTAGGGACATAATCCTTAAAACCTTCTAGAGACAAGTTTCTAGAACCTTCTAGAAGCAAGTCTCTAGAAGCTTCTAGAAGCTTTTTAGTTAGTAGAAGATATTAGAGACATAGTCCTTAGAACCTTCTAGAGATAAATTTCTAGAACCTTCTAGAAGCAAGTCTCTGGAACCTTCTAGAAGCTTCTTAGTTGGTAGAAGTTGCTTGAGAAGCTTCTTAAATAGAAGTATATATTGGAATCCAAGCTGAAGAGTTCTTTAGTCTCGACAACACATCTCTTGAAGCTCTAGCTCACCTCTCTGGTATTGTTCTCATTTGATTAATCTAGTTCTTGTTAGTTCTTCTTGAACTTCTTGTTAGATCTCGAGTCTGTATTTCTATGTCCGTGACAGTTTGTCGAGACTGCACTCACCTCAAATATCAGAGCTAGTTTCTTCTTTGTTAGAGTGTGGATTATCCCTCTGCTTGGAAGTGTACTAGCATTTTAGAGGTTGCGGATTACCCTCCTCTAAACTGATACTTCTTTTGTTATAATATTGGAGGCTTATTCTTCTTGGAAAGAGTGGATTACCCCTTTCCTTGAAGCTCTTAAGGCATTTTAGAAGTTGCGGAGTACCCTCCTCTAAACCAATATTGTCTTCTTGTAGAGTCATTTTTGTCCTTTTCTTAGAATGGCTGGGGGCCAAGACATTAGTATGACGGAAAGTTCGGAGTCCAAGTTAGATGCTATCATGAATGTCCTCTCTACGTTATCGCAAAGAAGTGTAGAGATTGAAGGAGTCGTGGCAAGGCTTCATAATGATGGAGCATCTGGGATGGCACAATCTAGGTTGCATCAGCCTCAAACTTCTGCACTTGGAGAAGCAACTCTGCCTCAGGTTCGACAAGCACTGCTGATTCTATAACATAAGGAGCCCCGAGTTAGCCTTTCAGACAAGTTCGATGGTACGCGTTCTAAGTTTCGAGGATTCGTCAACCAAATCAGGTTGATAACAGTTTTACAGCTCGACTGCTATCCAACGAAGGAGTCCTGTGTTGGGCTTGTTGGAACCTTACTTACAAGACAAGCTCTATCATAGTTTGCTCCTTTGTTTGAGAAACGATCGTCCATACTAAACAACTTTGAAACCTTTTTGGAGGTGTTTGCGAAAGCATTTGGTAAACACGACAAGGTTCGATGGAGTACAACAAAGATTCGGTCACTATGACAAGGGATGCGCTCTACATCAGTCTATGCATCGGACTTCAGGCAATTAGCATGCGACATCAATTGGGATGAAGAAGCATTGATGAGTCAATTCTATTGGGATTTAAGGGACGATGTGAAGGATTTGCTGTTAACTCTTCCTGATCTACAAATGCTCAACGAAGCTATTAGCCAAGCTGTGAAGTGCGATAACTGTCTATTCCAACACCACCAAGACCAACGTTCAAGACAACATACGATTTACCACGCCCTAATTATGTCAACAAGCAGTGTGAATTCACATTCACAGGTAGAAGACATGCAAATTGATGCGGTATGTGTCAAATCCCTTACTCTAGAAGAAAAAAAGCAGCGTATGGAGGAAGATCTATGCTTGTATTGCGGTGAAGAAGGCCACAAAGTTGGAAACTGCCCCAAGAAGCAAAATCGACGTATTGTCAGGACTAGAGGCACATTTATTCAAGAAAACGAGGATGCCCAGCCACAATAGGAACCGTGCGGCTAGACAGTGAAATATCACAACAACAACCAAGTTCCTTTCTTTCTGCTCAACCTGCCCTTTGCTTTACAATCCCTTTGTTTATTGGCCCTTAGAAACTGAGAACGTTAGCATTATTAGATTCAAGAGCATCTGTTTGTTTCTTAGACGAAGAATTTGTGAAGCATCATAAGATCCTTTTAGTACAAAAATCCAAACTTGTTCACGTTGAGGTCATAGATAGGCGACCTTTATTGTCTGGTAGTGTCACCCATGAATCAGAACCTATAGAAGTGACGTTTAAGGGCCATAGTAGTCATATTATTTTCAATATTATTAGAACCCCATTAAATCCTATTATTCTTGGTCTTTCCTAGTTGAAAAAGCATAACCCATCTATAGATTGGAAGTTGCAGAAGATGACTTTTTTCACAAAACCACCCAAGAGCAAGCCTAGTAGAAAATCCCGAATAGAGAAATCCTTATTTATTGGAGCAAGAGCGTTTATAAGATCATCCAAGGAAGGCACACCGTTTGTCATTTATGCGGCTCTAACTACCGGGGAGAAGATCTCGATAACAAGTATACCGGAGCAATATAAGAATTTTAAAGACGTGTTTCAAAAGAAAAATGCCGACATGCTACCAGAACACAGACCATATGATTGTGCCATAGACTTACAAGAAGGAGCACAACCACCTTTTGGCCCACTCTATAATCTATCGTAGACGGAGTTGGCAGAGTTGCGGAAGTATATCGACAAGAATCTAGCCAAGAACTTCATCCGTCATTCAAAATCGTCGGCTGGAGCACCCATCTTATTTGTGAAGAAGAAAGATGGCTCATTGCAGATGTGCGTGGACTATCGAGGCCTCAACAAGGTAACAAAGAAGAATTGTTATCCGTTACCCTTGATTTCTGGTGTCTTAGAACAACTTAGACGTGCAAGGATTTTTACAAAAATTAATCTAAGAGGAGGTTACAACCTCATACGAATCAAGGAAGGAGATGAGTAGAAGATAGCATTCCGTACGAGGTATGGCCATTTTGAGTATAATGTCATGCCCTTTGGTCTTATCAATGCTCCAGCGATCTTTCAACATATGATGAATGACATTTTTCGAGAGTACCTTGATGATTTTGTTGTCATCTATTTGGATGATATTCTGATATTCTCCAAAAATGAAGAAGAGCATGAAAAGCACGTTCGTTTGGTCTTGGAGAAACTATGCGAGCGAGGACTATATGCCAAGTTGGAGAAGTGTTTATTTCACCAAATAGAGATGGATTTTTTGGGGTTCGTTGCGACTACGGAAGGCTTGAAGATGGACCCCAAGAAGGTGGAAGCAATCGTGTCCTGGGAGGTTCCGAAGACGGTTAGAGATGTACAATACTTTCTTGGTTGTGCCAACTTCTATCGGATCTTCATCAAGAATTACTCTCAAGTTGCTGCTCCTCTCACTCGATTGACATGCAAGGATAAGCTGGAATGGGAACCTCTAGCGGAGAAGGCGTTTCAAGACCTAAAAATCGCAT